ATGAGGATCAGTACAAGCATGCACTCATAATTCTGCTTTTAATCGGCATGCCATTTTTTGGCTAGTGCAAGGTTGTGCAGTGTCACAAACCATATCAGACTGGACCCTGAAATTATGTAACTCTAATTTAATTTAATCAACCAGCATATATTCATACATGTATTCAGCTGAATATGGGAGCTTGTGCAATTTTGCTTGAGATGTTTAATTTGATACCAATTTTTGTCCACAAATAATTTTAAATGTCATCAGAATGACATTTAAATTGAACCTTGTGAACGCTGAGAAGCGGCAAATAAAGTGTTCTGTTCATTCATTCATGTCATCAGTAATTAGATTTTGCTGTTGTTTTTGCATATGTATGGGCCATGCTGTGGCACTTGTGTACTATTTTAAGTTTATAAAAATATGAGACAGAAAGCAAAAAAAAATGGTTTCCATTTTTTTTAGAACAAGTGGGATGTTTTTCTCCTGAATACGGCCCCTTGGCACACTTGAACATGCTTCCAAGCGACCCAGAAATAATTTCCACAGAATTTTGGATCACTGCTAGACAACAAACAGTAGGATTCACTGTTGTACCTGCAATGAATGCTTCAGAATTGGGAAGTCTTTTCGAAAATTTCGATCCCAGTTTACCCATGATCTTCATCATACATGGGTTTGCGGATGCTCCAAATGCCACGTGGGTTGACACCTTGACAACCAGATTGTTGTATAGGGTAAGTCTCTCATCATGTTTTTTTCTAAATTATCAGCTAATTTTTGCACTCTGTTTTTAATGTGATAGAATACATAGTAAGTGTGTTTCTAATTCAGGAATGATAGTCTGAATTCATTCAGTGTTTGAGGCAAGTAAGGCACATCTGTTATTAAATAGCGCTGTTGTGGCTAAATTTCAGAATACTGTAGTTTTGCCAAAAAAGGAGAAGAAAGAAAACTAATTAATTTTGTTAGGCTTTTTATTTGGGAAGCAGATGGTACCCTGCAATTTGACCCTAATCCATGGCCAAACTAGAGTCAAATTGCAAGAGACATACTCTGTGAAATTCAAAAATATAAGTACAAAACTAAAAAAAAGTGGCTGAAGTAGGTCAAATTGCCAGGCAAGAGTAAAATTGCAAGTCAACCTTTCTGCAAATTTGACCATCAAATTGAGGGAGGTCAAATTGCAAGGTAACACTTGTATGTAATTACTGGGATATATATAGAGAGACAACATTTTTGGAGCTTATGAGTACAGTATTGAAAAATTCCCTTTTTGGGCCTGCCCTGTATATTTAAATAAATATATGGAACATGACTTGAATGCTGAATTTTTAAAAGGAATTTTTGGGAATTTTTAAAATGCTGGGTTTTATACAATTCAGGGTCTTTCACTGTTGATGGTGTTGAACAAGCTGTCTGACTAGTTTTTTCTTCATTTATATATACACCCTGTACATATATTATAAACTTTAGGTGTTGCAACTGTGGTTATTATTGTTGTGAACTATGGTTTCTTGGTTTAGAAATAGATGCAATTTTTTTTGCTGGATCTTGAAAGTATTGAAAGTGTTAATTTCTCAAGCCTAGCCTTTATATTTAAATCTGTACAACTAATTGAAATATTGTACTGTATTATTTTGCATATACAGTATTATTCATTTTAGGTGAATGCAACTGTGGTTGTTGTGGATGACTGATTTCTTTGGGCTGATGTAGATCCAAAATTTTTGTTGGAGCTTGAAAGTACAGTATTGAAAAAATGTTTAATTTCTCAAGCCTAGCCTTTATATTTAAATCTTTGCAGCTAATTGAAATATTGCACAGTAATGTATTTTGCATATACAGTATTATGTACTTTAGGTGGATGCAACCGTGGTTGTTGTGAACTGGTTTCTTGGTGCGGATAGTTCCAACTATTTCGTTGCTGCTCGGAATACTGAATTAATTGGACGTCAGTTGGGGAATCTCGCAGAAGCCGCCATGTTGTTGGGTGTGTCGCCAAAAAATATGCACTTCATAGGACACAGTCTTGGGAGTCACATTGCCAATTTTGTTGTTTACTGGCTGCGACAGGTTTCCATTGTTGTCGAGAACTTCACTCCAAAAAGAATCACAGGTACAGTATATCATCTATGTATTATGTAATTTCATAGTTTCACTAAATTTATAGTTTTCATAGTGTCACTAATTCGACCACTTATTCCGGTAGATTTTTGAGGGACCAGTATAAACGTTTGACTTAAGGAGGTTTTGAGTTAGGGAAACAAGCATTTGTATTGTGGGAAAGATAGAAGAATTGCAGCAAATTTTATATGGTGACATTCTTATGGACTTTGATAAATTGCTTATTAAATGAGCAAATGAGATGCTAAACTTCAATTATTAGAGGTTCATATGCCCAATTAGTTTTTCATGACTTCCTTTCAGAGCACATCAAGATACATTTTTATTGATTTTCTCTTTTCTGCATTCTGAAGAAAACTCAAAAGCGCTTGGAAAAAAGGAAGGTAAGTATACTATTTTACTTGGGGAGGTTTGAGTTATTGAAGTTACAAAGTAAAAGGTATCATGTTTAAAATTGCTGTAAGGATTTTAGTCCTGACTTGGGTACCTTGATTCTTGCTTAAAGTGATTGTCATTTTAGGGTAAGCTTCACACTCAACAGCAACAAACATTAAAATCAATTAGATGAGCTGAGGTCTTGCATAATTGATTTGGGAATTGGCTGCTGTGTGTTCGATCCAAATGGGATATTGTTATACTGTACCGTGTTCATCTCAATATTATCAAGAGGATTTTTCATTGATTTAAAATATTTGTTGCATTAGAAATAACCTTTATTGTAAGTGTGGCAGGTAGAAATAATTTCTTCTCAGTTTTATGGAACGTTCATGCTGAATCTCAATTATATACTGACTTCTACACATTTCAGATGAATAGGGTGAGCAAAAAATTTCAACTGCTTCCAGAAATTGAATAAATGTGAATCTTCAAACACCATTTGTGTTCATCCCCATTTATCCAACACAACATTGAAAACTGATGAAAATATTTATTTCAGTATACAGGCGTTACCTTTAAATGCAACCCTAATCTGTTGCCAAACTAGGGTCAAATTGCAAATCAGTCAAATTGCAACACACTCCATGAAATTCAAAAATATAACTACAAAATGTGAACAAAGTGGTCAAAGCAGGTTGAATTTTGTGGCAAGGGTCAAATTGCAAGTCAACCTCCCTGCAAATTTTGCCATAAAATTGCAGGAGGTCAACTACCTGTGTAATGTGAGCCTGCATCTTACAATTTCATCTTTTGTTGTATGTTGTTTTATTTATTTTTGAAGCTTTGGATCCAGCTGGTCCTTATTTCTGCGACACTGAGTATCAAGTGGATACATTTTTGGAAGCAACAGATGCGGAATTTGTGGATGTGTATCATACTAATCAAGGGAAATTCATTTATGGCCACGTTGGTTGCGAGAAAAGTGTTGGACACGTTGATTTCTATCCGAATGGGGGATACAGTCAGCCTGGATGCGAGAATCCCATTTTTGGATTCATCGAAGACATGTTTTGTGAGTTTACAAAAAATTTTGAATTTTCCAAACAAATTTCCAGCACATTGTGAAATAAGAGGGAAAATCTCTGGATGCATCAGAAAATTCTCTGAACATGTAATGTTCAGACCTAATAAGGTCGCGCTAAAGTGGGACAACCCTCGTATATGACCTTGTAACTTGACGAAAATTTTCGTAGTGAACAAAAACTCTTTGAAACGAAATTAAAATAACATACTGTATGGTGGTTATTGAGCAGGGACCTGCAGGGAAAAAAAAAAATCATTGTATACATGCATTTGTTCTGACGATGAGATTCGTTATTGTAGCTAAATTCTACAGTAGATATTAAGGTCTTTTATTATTGCGAGAGCTGTCTTGGAAGTTGGAACAAGGGAAAAACTTGACATTAAAATTAAATAAATTTTCTCTCTCTTTTTTTCTCTCATCCATCAGCGGATGGTGAAGAATCCCACGCCTCCTGCAGTCATTTCAGATCCGTGCACATTTTCAGCGAATCTCTCGTCAGGGAAGACGAGTATTTCCGCGGGTTTCCTTGTCCGAATCTCGTGGAATTTCAGCACGATTTCGTTTCCGGCGACTGCTTTTCTTGCGAACCCTCGGGGAAATGCGGGAAAATGGGGTTGGACGCTGAGGAATGGGGTCGTGGGGACTTTTACCTTCTCACGTATGGTGACACCCCTGCGGACGGATTCATGCAGACCCTTGGTGGTTGGTTTTATTTTTAAATTTATATATATATATATATTTGATTTTCTTATTTTATTAATTGTATGTAATACTAAATTTTATGTGGCTACATCTGCTTTTAACCACTCTTGAGCATTTGTGCTGAGGCCAAAATATTCCCGAAAATTAAAAAAAATATTTCTTGATAAATTCACTATAATTCATAATCAAAAGCAAGCTGATCTGGTGCTCCTTTTTCAAGAGTTTTTTTCCATCATCTGTGCATATTCTAGCAAGATTTGTTCTCTTTCTTTGCATTTTGATCTCTTTTTGATTCCAAAAAAGTTCAGATTCTATGTGGTTTTGTACTGAACTGTTTTTTTTTCCTGCTGTGACTTGAAGTTGAGAGAAAAAAATCTTTATTAAATTTTTTGAGGGCTTATTTCTAATTTTTGACAAGAAGGAGAACCAATGAAATACATTAGCATTGAAGTCTAAGGGATAAATGAGACTCAACTCAGGGATATTCAGACATGAGGACACTCTTGATGCACCAATTACATCCACATCTTAGGGTCTCACTGTACCTCACTATAATGTTACATGTGGAGTACCTCACTAATCTTACATAAAATACATTGCTAATCTTACATAAAATACATTGCTAATCTTACATAAAATACATTGCTAATCTTACATAAAATACATTGCTAATCTTACATAAAATACATTGCTAATCTTACATAAAATACATCTTACATAAAATACATTGCTAATCTTACATAAAGTACTGTATCTGACTTATCAGTTGCATAAAATACCTCACCATAATCCTACATAAAATGTCTCACATATCATACATAAAATACCTCACATATCATACATAAAATACCTCACATATGATACATAAAATATACATCAGCACTGATCACACATAAAATACCCCACACTATATAATCTTACATAAAATACTGCACAAATCATGCCTTACTATAATCCATGTTGCTCATAAGTGTCATAACCAATCTTTTGTAAATGACTTGTACATATCTGGATGTGGTTTCCCTGTTTCAGGCAGAATGATGAGGATTTCTGTCTTGTCTTCGCCACAGGACTCTTACACATGGGGTCAGTTTGTTGTGGAAATTAATGACCGGCAACTTGGACCTTTGGGACCATTCGAATTGAACAAGTTGGTTGCACATTTGTTATTTTAATTTCTTCTTCCTGTAAAAAAATATTCTGCAATAAAGGTCAGTTGATGTTTTTGTAGTACACGCAGTAAAATCTTGTTACTACAAATACTTTTAAAACAAATTTTTTCAGTGTAAAACTTTTTTTCAAAGTCCCAGCAGAAATTCTATATAGGGATACATCAATGTTATAAAAATCTTGTTATAACAAACTTCCCAATTCCAGTATGACAAACTTTTTTGAGGAATATGTGGTGATTTCTTAATGAAAAACCTCCAATGAAGGCAGACAGAGTCTCAAATTTTGCATTCAAAATGTGACTGTCACTGGTTTTTGGGACATAGGGTGGAATCAAATACAAAAACTCTTCAAAATTCACCAGAACATATCCTCTTTTTCAATTTTTTTTTCTGGGTTAGGAAACATGGGGTGGGGGGGGGGGGGGATGTCGCGGGTCGACTAGATGTCGCCCGCAGCGCAAGAACAGGAAAGGCGCAGAAAGTGCGACGCAGCGTAGGAAACGCTACGTCGCACATAAAAACAAATATCTCGAAAATTCTAAACAATTCAAGATAACAACAGAAACATCTTTTATTAAAACATTATGAAACCTGAAGATATTGATCTTCAGGAAAAACATTCCACCAAGTGAATCATCACTTGATGAAAGGAATTATGAAGAATTTTACAAACAGAAAATTAGTCACACCCCAGTGAAAACCTTGGAGAAGCTTTCCACTGGGGAGGACCAGGACCTGTGAGGAAGGAACAGCAGAATCAATCAATCCTGCTCTGGACTTTGGA